ACTTGTCTGAATGACATCACTGGGTGCCCCATGCTCTGGCTTTCCCTGGGAGACTGGGCATGTGCCCTGTCTCCTCTCCACAAGGTCATCAAGATCTGGTTGTGTCCCTCCCCAAAGGCCTCAGCTCCTGGCAGGGGGGCCTCCCTCTGGCTCCAGGTGTGGTCACTACTCTTAGTTTCCCTGTTGGTACCATGTGAACAGGACCAGGTTGCCTGCTGCAGGAGGAGATACACATGGCCTCCTGGCCTCTGTCAAAAGCCAGCCAACACGGGTCAGCTTTCAAAACAGGAGCCATCTAGCTGAGCAGCAGCTGGCCACAGACGTCTGAGCAAGCTCAAGCAAGACCACCCACCTAAACTGTCATCCCACAAAGTTGTGAGTGAAGTAAATTGTTTAGGCTTTAAGCCATTGAGCTTGGGCCATTTCTTATTTAGCAGAGGCTAACTGATACATAGGTTTCCCTGAAAGCTGAGAGTCCTGGGAAAGCCCCTTGTCAGCTTGCTGTGCAGACACACCAGAGCCACCCCCACCCCTTTCGATAGGTCCCTCAGACAGCCGGCCCATAATGCACCGGAGCCCGGACTTATCCTCTGCAGGACTTGGAGTCTGGTCATGCTGTTCCCTCAGCCCCTCAGTGCTCTGCCTAACAGAACCCCGGCCCCGCCATCTCAAGCACTGAAGGACACACACCATCAAGCCCTGCTGTTTCTGGGTCCCCAAGGTGTACAGGCTGCCATCAGCTGGGTCTGAGAGGAAGGCCGTTCTGTGGAGCAGAGAGGAAGGGAGGTGGGTTGGATGCATGTTCCCTGGTTTCCCAAAGGTGCCCTTTCCCTCCAACCTCCTACCTCATAGGAGGCCATCCTTGCAGGAGGCACCGCAGAGCTCTGGGCCCGGTTCCACTCCCTTACATCCATCATGCACCCCACCCCCATCCATATTCCCTCCAAACACCATTGCTCCCCCATCTCCCAGATGCCCGCTCCTTAAAAGGCCGCAGGTTCACTTACTCGGTGACGTACATTGGCCCTTGGATGATGGGATCTGCAGGGACAGGGACCCAGAGCATGAGTTGCCCCCGCTGGACTCCCGACCCACAAGCATAGCTCCTTCTCCCTGGGTGCTCGCCATGTGCCGGGCCCCACCCCAAGCATGTAACTTGCATGTACTGTAATCTTCCTGAGAGCCCTGTGAGGGAGGGCCATTACCCTTGGCTTCATTCTGCAGGTGAGGACCCTGATGCTCAGAGAGGTAGAGTGACTTTCCTAGGGCCACACAGCCGCTACGTGGTGAAACTGACTGCAGGCACTGGCATGTGGGAGCCTAACCCCATGTTCTCATCTTCTGTGTCATAGTGACACCACTCTCACTCGGGTCCGAGGAGGAAGGAGTGACTCCCCCGTGCTCACCATCCCTCAGCGTCCACTTCAAGTCCCCTGTCTGCTTGCTTAGTGCATGGAGACTTCCATCCAGGGTGGACACGAGCAGGAGGCTCTCCGGCCTGAGAGTCTGGACCTGCAGTGGAGACAAAGCCAGCTCCTCTAAGAGGCCTGGGGCCACCCCTTGTCCTTGCCCCAGGCAGAGCTTGCTGTGATTGCCCGGTCCTCTGGAGACAGAGACAGAGGGAAGGATGAGTGGGGGAGCTGTTGGCTCCACCCAGCGATCTCCTTGAGCCTAGGAAGGGGTTACAGTGGGAGCCAAGACCACCCAGCTCCCACTGTACCCAAAATCCCACCCTTCCCCCACCCAATTCCTTCTGGTTTCCCAAAATAGAGCAAAAACCTTTACAAAAAAGGCACTGACATTGGCCCTTCCAGCCTCCCTGGGAGACCCAGGCTATTGCTCTCACCTTTGTGAGGTGAGGGAGACAGCTCAGGAGGGTAAGGCAACGAGCCATGCAGGTAAATGGCAGAACTGGGACTTGAGGCACCACCTCTGAGATTCCAGCACCTGGCCTCTTTCTCATTTGCCACACTGTCTGCTTCTCTTAAGGATGGTCCTTTCTGCTCCCCAAACCAGCTCAGCTGCTTTAGCTGCGGGGCTCCACTGGCTGGGGTGGCTGAGGGGGGAGGGAGGGCTGGAGCTGCCTTTCCATCTGGCCCCTGCTGGGCTAACTCACTTGCTCTAGCCCCTCCTTGAGCAAACAGGGTGAGGCTGAGCTCCCAGCAGGAACCCTAACATCCGGGTGGCCCAGCCGCACCCCTGCAGAGGCCACATCCTGCTCCAGGACCCTGGGGTTTGGGGCTGAGCCACTGGTTCAGGTGGAGAACCACCTCTGGTTTGCCCACCTGTTTGGTGACCTGCAACATCGCAGGAGGGAGCTTGGTCTAGAGGAGCTGCAGACTCTGGGCTCACAGTGGAGTTTCATTTGACCATAATTGTATTTAAAATTTGTTTTTCATTAACTGCCAGTTAAAACATCGGAAAGATTTTACTTAAAATCTGGAATTCTGATTTTTTTCATTTTTCTGGAGACACCAGATCTCCCTGCACTGGGCTCACATTCTTACTTGGCAACCAGGGGGTGGACCCAGAGCTGGGAGCTGGGCGTGGGGGTGCCCAACTCCACTGCGATCCTGTTATCTGTCCTCGGGCCTCAAGTCCCGCAACTCAGAGCGCAGACACCATCCCCGCGCGGGCTCCAGGCTGGGCGCCTTCTGCCTTCTCACCGCGTTTCTGTAGGACTGCACTCTGCCTCCCCATGGGCTGACCAGGCGCCCACCCCTCCCTCCCGTGGTTCCAACCCGGGGTCCGTCATGGGTGAGGGAGGCACCCTGGGGCCCTCCTGTATTTGTCTGTAAAGCTGGGCATGTGGGCGCATTTCTCAGACCATCCTTAAGTTGATCACAGGCGCCTGGGACCCCAGAAGCTGTAGGAGGCCCTGCAGTGAAGTCGGCCCCGCACTCCCGCCCCTGCCCGGGCTGTGGTCTGCGGGCTGGGCTCTGGGTCCCCCGCGCCTCTCCAGGCTGGCGCGTCTCTGACCAGGTGTTTGAGGGGCAACTGGCAACTCCCCAAAGCCGGGAGGTTCTCTCTCGCGCGGGACCGCCGGTGTCCCTCGGCCCAGGGAGGTGGAGGCGCCCTGCTCCCCCCGCACCCCAGCCCCG